CCCTCCTGATATCACTACTCTCATTATTCGTCCTGAGGGGTTTATCTGTTCTGGATTCCCTGTTTCCAACTCTTATCTGTACCAGTGTGTATGCTCTGGTTTAGCTGGATTTGTAAGGTAGATTTGGGATCATGATAGTGGGGGTGAGGCAGTGGGGAAGCATTAAAGAACTAGAGGAAAGTTATATGTTTCATCGGTGCTACACTGCATCCTGACTAGCTTGTCTCTTCCATGTGACCTTTCTGTAAGGGGATGTCCAATTGTCTAGAGATGGGCTTTGGGTCTCCACTCTGCACTCCCCATCATTCACATTGAGATGATATTTTGTTCTGGGTCTTTTGCCTGATACCTGATCCCATCGACACCTCATGATCACACAGGTTGATGTGCTTCTTCCATGTGGGCTTTGTTGTTTCTGAGCTAGATGGCCACTTGTTTATCTTCAAGCCTTTACAACCCCAGACGCTGTATCTTTTGATAGCCGGCCACCATCAGCTTTCTTCACCATGTTTGCTTTGCACACATTTTGTCTTCAGTGATCCTGTCGGGAAGGTGAGCATCATGGAATGCCAGTTTAATAGAACAAAGTGTTTTTGTGTTGAGGGAGCACTTGAGTAGAGGCCCAATGTCCATTTGCTACCTTGATTGATACTTAACATGTAAATATATGTACATAGATCTATTTCCCTATGGTTATATATAAATATATTTACATATGTACCTGCCTGTATTTAGACCTCTATATATGCCCTTTGCCTCCTAGTTCTTTTCTCTATTTCCTCTTACTTTCCTCTTGCCCCACCATCATGCTCAGCCTTCATTCAGGTTTCAGTCATTCCTCTCGGTTACAATGCCCTTGATCAAGCCAAAATTGTTTACTATGGCTCTTCTACCAAGTCTCTGCAATGCCCACCGAATGAGTGGGTGGGACTATGCAAACAAGGCGTGTGTAACCAATAGACGGGGTAGGTCAGTTTTCCTTACTACCCTCCCGCCCGAAGCATGAGCCATCTTTGAAGCAGCCGTGGAGGAAAGGGAAATTTGGAGGGCCTTGGAAGAACATGTTCAACATCTGAGGTGGTAGAAGCTGCCGAGACCAGATCTGGCACAGGGATGGCACAAAGACTGCGGAGCACCGCCGACTAGGGCTACTTTCTCCCTTTCTGGCCAGAGACCATGGAGCTGGCACAGTGACAGGCAGGCTGGCTCCTGGCCCATTGAGGCACAGGGCAAGAGACCATGTGACTGAGAGGCTGAGAACTGGAGAGATTTGACTCCTGGCTGCCATCACTGATCACACCATTACTGATTGCTGATCCGGACTTGAGGTCCCCTATTAACTTCCCTAATAATCCCCCTTCATTGTGAGTATTGCCTGCCAGTTCTGTGTGGCCACTGCAACGAATGATCAAACCCAGCATAGATGTAGAATGGGAGGAATGGTTGGTGTCAGAATGGGTAATGAAGGGTGGAGCTTGGAAACTTGTCTGACTCCTGTCTCATAGCAATAGGTAAGCCAGAGGAGGTCAGGGGTGTCCATCTCCGTTGCCATTTATAAAACAACAAAAAGCATTTTAAGATCAAACTAGAGCACAATACTATTTATGATAGGAGAAGAAGCACAATCCTATCTATGATAGGAGAAGACCTATGCACCTCGAAGGAAGTCCAGCTAATACAACTCTAATTCAGATTTATACTTCCACCAACTTTTTCAGTCTGAAATTAATCAAACATGACATCAGATGCATTGATAATTATTGGTGGTTGGAGTGCAAAAGTTGGAAAAAGAGGAAGGAGCAGTAGTTGGAAAATACGGTTTTGGTAATAAAAATGAAGCCAGAGGTCATTTGATAGAAATTTTCAACTTCTTTATTACAAACAACTTTTCCCCCAGCAACGTAACTGTACACATGGGCCTTGCCAAGTGGGATCCGGGGTGATCAAATTGATGACCTCTGTGGGAATCATCTTGCTCAGTATCATCAGCAGAGAGAGGCCAGCAGGTGATGTGGGGCAGACCATCAATCGCTGATGGTGCTTTGATTAGTTTAATCTTCTATTTTTCGTTCTGCCATGAACATTTGCATGTCTGTTCAAGTCATTGCAATCTCCAGGGTATACCCCTAGCAGAGGAATTGCTGGATCATAACCTAACTCTAATGCTAGTGTTTTAAGAAGTGCCAGACTGTTTTTCATAGGAGGTAAGACTCAAGCCATGGTAGTTTCATTTTCCTCATATGTACATGAAAGTTGGAAAATGTATAAGGAAGACTGAAGACTTGAAGCATTTGTATTTGTTTTTAGAATAAAGAAAGCATATTTTATTACATTTTCTGCTTGTCAGTTTCAATAGAAACAATGCTTTTGCTAAGCCTCAAAGTGTTGGGTTTTTTAAAAATCACGTTATTGGGGGTAG